CCCAGGCTTCCTGGAATCAGCTACTGATCAGTTTCAGCAGCAGCTGACTTGGGGACGCTTGGGGTTCTTAAGTTGATTCTGTATGTAAGTCAGAACTGGTGGTCAGTTTCAGCAGCGGCTGAATCTGGGCGCCAGTTCCGACTTACATACAGATTCAACTTAAGAACAAACCTACAGTCCCTATCTTGTACGTAACCCGGGGACTGCCTGTACTAGGTTTAAAAATGTTCAGAAGTAAAGCACTTCAATTGGAATTGGCAAGGTGTCTTGTAGAGTCCCAAAGCAAGACAGAAACCCCATTTCTTTCTTTGTTTGAAATATAGTCATTTCATAATATTTGCACGTGTCAAAGCTTAAGACTTTTTTCCAATAAAATAAAAAGCTCTAACAATCTGTGAATTAGTTCTAATATAAATTAATGATCTATTTATAATATGGTAGTTATTGGGAAGAGTGGAAACACTGAAAAAATCAGAAATATAAAATATTTTACACCAAAAACCTCAAATATAAAACTGTGTACTTCAAAAAACAGTTAAATTATAGAAAATCTGGAAATATTTGAGGTACCAATGCCCAAGTATCTTTGACTTATTAGAAGAAACTTAGCCATTTGTTATTGTGGGTGGGTGAGTGGTTTTTTAAGCCAGATTCCAGCTTGGGATGTAAGCAACTAGAGTAGAGTTGTCCTCTACTCGATAAGCCTAGGCTTATCAGAGGCAGCAAAGCGGAGGGGAGGGGAGAAGGAGGAGGAGGAGGAGGAGCCAGTGCCAGCTTTAAAGCCAGTTTCCTCCCCCAGCACTGTTTGGGGGGGAGGCATTGGGGGATGGGGCACAAGCTGGGACAGCCGAGTTCCAGCTCACACCTGGTCTAAGAATGTTAAGAATTGACTAATGAAATAGTTGATGAATTTTGCATCAACTATTTGATTAGTTGATAGGGTACATCTGCCTTTGAAGTGTAGCAATAGCCCTAGTGCTGTTGCTATGCTTCATAGACAAAAGCGCTGCATGGAGTCCCCAGCTGATTCCCAGGCTCCTCGAGGCGCTGCTGCTTTGAAATGCTGCAAAGAGCCCAACACTGGGCTACCTCCAGCGTTTCAAAGCATCAGCGCTGCATGGTGCCCCTGGGGTCAGCAGCGGGAGTCTTCAATGCAGGAGATCAGATTAGATCAGTGATGGACAACCAAGGCTAGTTGGTGAGTCACGTGAGAGGCCTCAATCTCCGTGGACTGCAAGATTGAAATCAATTGTGCCCGTGACCCTAAGAATAAGATTAAATACATTAATACATGGCATGATGAATGTTTCAAAACAAGTAGAAATGCTTTAATCATTCATATGTTAATAAAACTGTCATCAGATTTAAATAATAAAAAGGAAACTTTACACTTTACAACATCAAATTCCTGCCCAACATCTTCCCTGCCTTTTCTCCCAAGTGCCATCCCTGCTCTTTTCCCCTCCCTCTCAGCACTTTCAAAGTACCATGAATTGGCTGACTTGCTCCCTGTCCCTGCTCCTCTCCCTCCTGCACAGAGCTTGAGTACTGTGAATCAGCTGATATGTGGCATTCAAGCTCTGGGAGGGAGAGGAGTGGGGACGGGGCATGAATCAGCCAATTCATGACATTCTGGGAGTTCTGGATGAGAGAGAGAGAGGAGATAGGTAAGTGTGGGGACCCCAGTGTGTGAGGCCTGGAGGAAGGGGGCAGAGAGGATATACATTCTGCACATGGAACCCTGACAGGCCACATGTGCCCCATGCACTGCAGGTTGCCCATCTCTGGACCAGATGATCATAATGACTTTATCGGTAGCGCTCTGCGCAGATACAAATTACTATCTGTGGATGCTGATACCCATGGATGAAAATCAGTATCTGCTGAACTGCAGGGCTCTGCTCTTGAACTGCAGTGACCAAAGGAGAAGAATGTGGTGCTCCCACTCCTAGGAGTTGCCTGTGCCTCACCGCCACCCCTGGCACTATCCAAGCAGCCCCAATTGGCTGGAAACTGGCCAATGGAGGTGGCATTTGAGGGTACAGACAGTAATGGAGTGTATGGAGATCTTCCCCTGCTTTGGAACCATACACAGGGGGTGCCTGCACTTAGCCAGCTATTTTCAAGAATAGCATGAGGTCAGGTAGAAACAGTTTGCCTGAACCTTGCTGCGCTGTTTTCCAGGAGCTGCCTATGGTGAACTGCCTTCTAGGTGCAGCCTATATCCCAGTCCCTTGTGCCAACCCTCAGCCTACATCCAAACTCTATCCTAAAGCTGACCACTCCTCACCTCTCCACCCCTACCCAACACTCTCCCAGCTTGGAACCCCCTCCTGCCCTTAACTTATCTGCCAGGCTATGTTTAAACTGAAGAACTCCCTCTTCCCCATCCATACACGCCTTTTTCTGAAAGAGCTCTTTCGGAAAAAATGCTCTGTTCCTTTTTTTTTGTTGTTGTTGTGTGTTTTTTTTTTTTTTTTTAAAGAATGCTATTACAGCGTGGATGTAAGTGAAGTTTTTTGTTTTGTTTTTTTTGGAAAAACAGCTGTTTTTTCTGGAAAAACTCTGTGATGTAGACCTAGCCCCAGAGACTACACCCTGTTCCAGTCACATGAAAATGAGTGAGCATGGGGGAGAGCAAGCAAAGGCGGGGGGGGGGAGGTTGAAATAAGTGGGGCCTGTGGGAAGGTGTGAGAGGAGATTCTGGATTTCCCTTGAATTAAATTTTTTTTTTTTTTTAAAGATTGGAGCTACTATCCCCACAGGGAAGTGGAGGACAAGTAGCAGTGATAGTACAGAGTTATGGTTGATGGGTGAACTCCAATGAGTGTTTCCTGATTGGTACATTTGAAGTACATTTAATTACTTCCCTAACTTTGATTTTCTGACTTGCATATAATACAATGTAATACAGACCACTCTGACATCTATATTGTACTATAATTAATTTTCACTGTGTAATCTGTTTCTACTCATTGCTTTATTTGGACAATGAAACTAATCTGGCCTCTAATTTTAAATATTATTTGAAGCAGTTCTTAAGAAGTTTGGCACCTACACAGCTGGCAGTGAGTAGGGAACCCTGGTGGAGGCCATCAGGGCCAGGAGTAATGCAGGAGCCCCATCTGGGGAGCCCCACCAGCAGCGTGGGGAGCTCCACAGCTTGGAAAGGAGCTGGGCATGGGCTGGGGCCTGCAGGGGAGCATTGACCTCCTCTGGTCCAGCAAACTTCCTGGTTTGGGACTACTCAGATCCTGAGGGTGCCAGACCAGAGAGGTCCAACCTGTACTTGGCAAAAGGCTCGGTTGATTTTTTTTTTCCCCCTTTATCTTAAACACTGCCTCCTATGCTGAGAAACTGACACCTTCTGTTAATTTAGGTAAAAATCTGATCAACATTTCCTGTATATTTAACATTGCATATGCATTTTGATTGAAGTAAAATATATATGAAAACCCTTTGTTAATTTTTTTCTTAAGTAAGAAGTTTGAAAGTGGTTTAGTGTCAGTTCACTGCACTTATTATCTGAGTAAAAACGAGTCTCTGTGGCACCTTAGAGACTGACACAAAATATATAGGATCATGAGCTTTCATGGGTAAAATCCACTTTATCAGATGAGTTGGAGTGGAAATAACAAACATATGAGACATCACTTTTGGTGTAGCTGTAAAGGCAGGAGAATTTCTAATATGTCCACCCTAATTCATGTGATGAATTGGATTTTACCCATAAAAGCTCATGATTCTGTTAATTTTTTGTCAGTCTCTAAGGTGCCACAGGACTACTCGTTTTTAAAATTACAGACTAACTCCTCTACCCCCCCCCTTTGAGACTTATTATGCGTTGTTGCTGTATTTTCCTGTTTATACAATCCCCTCCACTTCTCCCTCACGCTTTTTTATACTCCTCATGTTCATTGAAGCACCTCATGATACTGAGCCCAAATCCATGGGAGTCCATAATAATCACAGCAGTGTGTTAGAGGATTTGAGGAGCAAGAAAGAAGGGAAGGCTGGTGTTTCAGCTGCCAGTTCCTGCATTTTTCTTACATCTTGAAGTGAGGTCAGTCACAATGCTGTATACCCTATTTTGTGGGAAGCTATTCATAGAGACGTCTCTCTTTGTTTTTCTTAGATGCCTCTAATAGAATGGAAAATTGTTGCTTTCTTCTGCAACTTTTCTTTTTAAATATGATTACCTGAATTATACTATCAGAATATAGAATTACTCAAATGTACTTCTGAGGGAAAGTTTAAATATGAAACATTTTTACCTACTTACTTTACCTAATGGGAGATAACACTTATGAATCTTTATATATTATGCATACAACACATGGAGAATCTAAGCATAGCTCTTCAATTTTTTGTAAACAATAGTGCAGTATTTCAAAATTCAGCTCTTGGGAGACTGCAGGAGACTTTTCCTAAGGGTTAATTTGATAGTCAGCTTAAAAAATGTGAAAATGCAGATGTCAGACAGGAGAAATTGGCTTTGTAATGGGCCAACCAGTTAATGTCTTTATTCAAGCCCAGGGTAATAGTGTCAAACTAGCAGATGGATTATACTTCGCAGTCTCTGTAATTGGGTGATGAAATTCCTATATAGAAGAATGGCTACTTTTAAATCAATGATTGAGTGATCAGGCAGGTTAAAATGTTCCCCTACAAGTGTATGTCTGTTACTATTTCTGATGTTTGATTTGTGTCCTATCCTTTATTGTAGAGACTCTCCGGTTTGGCCAATATACGTGGCAGGAGGCATTGCTGGCACAAAAAAAGCTAAGACTGACTGACTGTGCTTAGACCGCACTTAATTTTGGAGTAAGCCCCATTGAACTCATTGGAGCTTCTTTTTTTTTTTTTTTTTTTGTTTAAGAAAATTATAGAATGGGGTTCCCTTGGAAAAGCTTAGTTAAGTTGAAGTAAAATAGGGAATGGACATCTAACCTCTGGTCATAATGTTCCAAAGTAAGGGGCATGTATTATGTAATATAAAATAAGGAAATAACAGTGGCAACTGACAATTCTAGGTTTCTCTCTGTAGCTTTCTGTATTGTATATTTGAGTGGTAAATTCTAAATCTAGTTAACTAATTCAACAAACCATAAGGATTAGTGAAAGTAAACTTTTTTCCTAGCAACACCTAACACAATAAACAGTTTGTGAAATTGTCTTGCAGCATGATGCATTGCAAAGTGAATTAAGTTACTAGCCAGTTGATGGACTCATCTATATCCACACTTTCATTCACGTTATTTTCTCCCAATAAGAAGTCTTTCTTGTGATGATTCATTCTTGTAGCTAGGGCCTGCATCATTATCTTGCACTGCTTACACTTGACACATTTTCCTTTTTTTTTTTACCCTGGGAATGAATTTTTCAAAAAATTTCCAGATTGGGTATCTTACACCCAGAAGCCCTGACAGTTTTTCTGTCTCAAAACTGTGGGGGAATATAGGAAGCTGTGTGCATGCTGAATAATGTCTGTCTTGTCCACTCCACTATTCCTTTCTATGGTGCCTCCATCCTTCCCTATATATATTGTCTCTGTCTTTCAGACAATGTCTAAACTAACCCCTGTACCATTCTTGGCTGAGGACTACCAGCGCATAGCACAGAACAAAAACAATCCTATCCAGCTTGTATCTCTATGCACTTTTTAGTCTGCTGAGAGACAGAAATTGAAAGCCCAGAATTTTCAAGAAGCAAGCGCTGGTAAGTTAGGCTGATCAGACTGGAGCCATTAACTTATTTTTATGAGACTGTAAGTGTAGGTGTAGCATGTTTGTGATGAAATTGTAACTGTTGTTTTTAAGCAAGAAATTCAATATTTTCTTGTTTTTAAAAATATCAAAGAACAATTTAAAGTAAAAAATCTGATTTAAATTTTTTAAATAAAAAGATCAATTTTTAATCTTTTTTTTAAGCCACTCTAGCCACAACACAGTAGTAGTTATAACTGAAATGTCATTGACATTGCAGAGTTCCTAAAGATACGTTATTTTATGTTAGATGCTTAAGACAAGGATAGAAACTTTAAACATTTAATTGAAGTCCCAGGTGTTAGGTTAATTTCTATAGATATTTTTACAACTTGGCATTAGTTAATTATTTGTGTGTCTATTTAATATAGTTGCTGTTTCCTTAAGTGCTTAATGGCCAAGGAAAAATCCTTATTTCTATCTTTGAAGTTAGCTGATTCTTAGATCAAAAATACTAAGACAGTCTTGCAAATTTTTTGATTACTTGTATGCTAAATTCAGGCTATGTATAATGTTAGTTGCTTAGCTTTACCATTAAAAATAAGATTTGTACAGTTTAAGCAATGTCACTTAGAGGCTATATCCTGACTTTTCTTTGCAGTCTAAAAAAGATACACAAATTCTGACCCACAATTTGCGTATCTTTCCGCTTTTTTTTCGAAAAACGTTTTTCCGAAATTTGGCCCATCTACATGGGGCCAAATTTCAAAAAAACTTCCTCTTTCAGAAGTTCTGTAGTGTAGACATAGCCTAAGTGTTACTAATGGCAACATTTCAATACAGTTATTTTAAGCTGAAAATTATGTGATCAGATGTGAAAGTTTTGTTTGAACCACATCAACAATATTACTGAGTGAATGATTATTTTATTTAGGATGCAGGTAACTTACTAAAGTAGGCATGATTCAAATAAACATATTTTATTGGACAATTCTGGTCCTCCTTTGAGCAGAGATTGGACTAGATGACCTCCTGAGGTCTCTTTAACCCTAATCTTCTACGATTCTGTGAATTTCTGCCCTTGCACCTTTTGTTCTCTTAAAATTCCTGCTAAAAACAAAGCTAGGAGATGTTTGTCAAGTTATTTATTTGTATTCATTGTATTTGATATTTCATAATACTGTGCTGTAAGACATAATAGCTTTGAATTAAAACTGTGACTGTCAATTATCAGGAAAACTACTTCTAAGTGTGGCAGCGTTTTCAGTTAGATGCTGTATTCCTCTTTGACCTTTTCTGCACCAAAGATTTCTCCCACCTCTGCTGAGAGGTGCTCTTGGTGACAAAAACTATATTAGTCACTCTACACTTAAAGCATTTACACCATGCTAACGTTAAGTACAAGTAGAACCTCTCTGATCTGGCAACATCTGTGGTCCAGCAGGTCAAACTTCCATAAAAGTCTAGTAAGAATGGTTATTGAAATAAATATAGCTCTCTAATCTTGATTCTTATGTTTTAATTTCAGCAGATAGTTGATGTGACATTGTCAATGAATGGTCATTTTAGTGATGATGGCCGACCAGCCACCTCCACTAGAAGCCACACCTATAATGAATGAAGTGCCACTTCTACCTCATATGGTTAGTGGGGACAGCATACAACAGGCAAGTACAATTGTAAAACTTGAATACTTAACAATCAGTTCAGGCTTTTCTTACTATAGCATTAATTGCCTAACAACCTAATTGAAGTGCTGCATATTTTAACACTACTTTAATTGGGCTATGCGCTTTATAGAGCAGCTAGAGGAACTGTGCTTGTACTGCTGATGCTACTTGTTTGAAAAGTCCTTGAAAATTGAGGAATTAACAGGAAATGGGAGTAAAGTAAGTGTAGTACAGTTCTCAAAATCAGAAGAATGTGGGGGTTTTGTTGCTATCTTCAGTGTAACTTCTATCTTCAGTAAAATCATGAGGCAAATATGAAGAATGGAAAAAAACCACTAAGTATCTAGAACAGTGGTCTCCAACCTTTTTACACCCAAGATCACTTTTTAAGTCTCAGAACAGGTGAAGATCTACCGCCCCGCCCCTTCCTTGAAGCCCTGCCCTCTCTATTCTCCTGTCCATCACTTGCTATCTCCAGCCCTTATACACTCTGTTAAACAGTTTATTTTTAAATTATGCAATATATAAAATTAATCACGTTTATAGTTATGAAATAAATGGTCTGTTTTTAATTCATGCTATTTAAATGTCAAATGAAGCATTTACAATTATACATTTTGTTCTCTGCTATTTTGTAAATCTAAAATCAAGTATTGATAATTATATATTTTTTTCTTCCAATAACAAAGTCTGTGTGACACCTGTGACTGAACAGTATCTGCCAGTGTCTTGAAGTCTGGGTTGTAGTCTGAGATTGCTAGTCGTATACAGTCCATCAGATGGGTATCTGTGATCCTGCACTCAGCCTGGGATGTTTGCTCCAGCACAGCTGGAGCTAGACGCAGCCTCCCTGGGCTGAGCACAGGGCAGCCAGGCTAGAGGGAAGAGAAGTGGCTGCCTGGCCAGCTGGCCATGGCGCTCAGCCAGGGTGCACCAAGGGCAGGCACAGAGGAGAAGCCACTGATCAGCTGGAGCGTGGGGCAGCCTGTTTGAGCTGAAAGCCAAAGTCAGCTTGCTGGGGTGTTTCAGCCCTCCCGACCTCCCAGCTCCCACCATTCCTCGCAGTTACTCACCTGTGTTGTTGCTCGGTGAGTAACAGCTCCTCAGATGAGGAAATCTAATGTAAATGTACTGCGCAGGCGTGCAGTTCAGAGAGGGCTCAAGAGCTACTCTTAGAGCCCCTGAGATCTACTGGTAGATTGTGATCTACTGATTGGTGACCACGGATCTAGAACCATTAAAATTGTCGAATATTTTTCATTAGATAAACTTGATTGTTATAGGATTACAGAATCAATAGATCAAAGAACATGTATATTTTCATTTAATAAAGCATTTGATAATTCACAATCTTTGATTATAACAAGTTGTCTTGGATATAAATAGCACTGTGGATTAGAAACTGATTGTAGTACCATAAACAAAGAATTATATTGGAGAGAGGTGTAGCAGGATATAGCAAGCACTGGTTAGGTTGATGATATTCAATATCTTCATTAATCTACAAAATGAGTTCATAGCACACTAATGAAAATTGTGGATGCTGATTTGGAAGGGGATCAGAATGTCAATGAAGTATGGATTTTACATGGGTGCTTAGTGAGATTAGAATATTAGGCAAAAAAAATATAGTCAGCTTGGTAAAGTGTAAGCTATAGTACATCTGGAGAGCACTAAACTAGAAGGCTACGTCCCGCGGATTTCCCTATTCTGACTTGCCTGCTTTGCATGCCTCTTCTGGAGAAGGGGCCAGTCTAGACGGAGCCAAAGTGAGTTTGCAATTGGATATGGCATTCTAAAGGTTACTGTGTTATACTAAATATAAAGGATTGTTATGACCTGGTGATTATAGTCTGGTACACTAGTGTGACCACACTGAGAAATGATATAGTAGGTTCCAAATATCTCATTATTTTAAAGATATTGGTAACTGCAGAGTGTTCAGAGAAGAGTCTCTTGCTGCTCCTGTTGGCTGCCATTACAGCCAATTGGAGTTGTAGGAGAAAAGCCTCCAGACAGTGCTTTGCTGCTCTGGCCTTTCTCCACCTGGGGAGAAGGGGGGAGCAACGCATGGAGCCAAGCAGAGCCTGAGAGTCGGATCCGACCTCAGCTTGCCTGACTGACCAACCTATGACTAGCAGGATTGTCAATCTCTAGATACCTTTAAAGTGACAGGTATATTCATTAGATTTCATTTAATTAAAATTTCTTTGCTCTAGAATTATTTTTAAATTGATCATTGCTTTAATCATAAACTGTCTTACTTGTGTGCTCAGTTAATCAAAATAATGCTTGTTTGGATTAATAATTAAATCTCTAGATTAGGGATGTAATAGTATAGTTGATTAACTGATAAGCTAAAGCTTATAGGTTAGTGCTATAGACTGCATGCATTTTCCTGCTCTTCCCCTTCCCCCCCTTCCCCTCCCCCAAGGTAGGCTGGGCAGCAGCCAAGCTCAGTCTTAGCTTGCGGTAGGTCCAGGACCCACTCCCACTGCTGGTCTGCATTTAAAGTGTATTAGGAGCCAGGCGGGCAGCCGGTGCACGAGGGGGAGCTGGTTTTAAACTGGCTCCCCTCATGGAACAGCTCCCGCCCGGCACCCCACGCTGCTGCCTCTGACATAAGGCAACAGTGTGGAGTGGCAGGTCACTGCCGGTCCTACTCCCCAGGGAGTGTTGAATTGTCAAGTAATCAATAAGATTTCATGAGGTTAATTGATTATTCAGTTAACCGGTATTTAACATCACAACTCCAAATTATTTTCTGTAATGGGTCATGAAACCAGTGATATAGCTGAGATACATCCTCTGGACAGACATCAATGAAAACAACTTCAGCTTGCTTATAAATTTCCACTACAACTTCGGCAACCAACTCCTCTCCATTAAACTCTCTGGAACTCTCCCACATTAGCAACAACTTCCTGGACCACAATCAACTTCTGCAGAACTCTACAGACAACTGTCTGTAAGAAACCCACAGATCATCACACCTGCCTTATTAAAGCCATTCACCGCACCAAACACATCAAGAAATCTGATATCTATAGCTAGGTAATCGAGACCACCGAGTATGCTCTAAGGAGAGAGTCTGGGATATACACCATAATACACCCAAAACTACTGTCCCAAAACAGATACTCAACCAGTGAAGTAGGTCACATCATGGGACAGGCATCCAAGTACCCCAAGATAACCTGCAACAGCATCTGCTTACCTTCTATTTAGGTTTGAGAGAGATTAGGTTTTAATAGCAAGTGTTGATAAATATCAATTTTTTCATACACAAATAATGAAAAATATTTGCATTCCATGGATATCTAAATTTATAGTTAGACAAAGTAAAATCTACTTGTGAAGTTTGATTTAAGGATATTGATTTGTGATGCAAACCATGAAAACAAATAGTCATATCCAGAGCTTGACAAGCAGCGGCGAAAGCCGCTCGCCAGCCCTGCACTGCGCATGCACAAGAGCCACCAGTAAATGGGGCGTGCAGCTGAAATCTACTTGCCACGGGCGAGTAGATTCTATAGTCTGTCGAGCCCTGGTCAGACCCTGTTTTAAAGCTTTATCTTGTTTGAATCTTTTAAATAATTATTTTCTGTCCCTTCTATTGCGTGCTCCCCCACAGTTGCCTGCAACTGTGTGAAAATGTATATCAATACAATAGAAAAAATGCTTTGTGTGCACTGTGAAAATGTATAAATTTCCGTTTTAAAATGCGCATTGATATTATCCAAGATTCTTTAAAAAAAAAAATTAAATTCTAACAAGCTTACTTACCTAGCATAGCAAGAGTCAGTAAATCCACACGTGCCTTTTAATAAATGAGCGGTGCAAGGTGAGTTGCTACACTGTGTGAGAAGTGCACAGCTGGGGAAGCACTATAATGCGTTCTGCTGGGGTTTTTCCGCCTTCTTACTGTGTTTCATAGCAGATGTTGAGGATTTGAACTATTTTATATAAGACAATGCTTAGTATCCCTCTGGTTGCAGCCATTGTAAATCTATTTCATTATTTTCTTGTGGTTACATTTGGCTCTACAACCCATTAAAAATGTAGTTAGAGATGTAGGTTGAACCACAGGCAAAATTTCACTGGATGAATTGGCAAGGTATCCAGAATATAATGTTAATTACATGTGATGCTATTTATTGTAAGGCAAATTGAAAGCTTATTGTTCAAAGTAAAAATTAGTTAAATCAGTTTTTAAATGTGGAATAACATCAACAGTAAATAATCCCTGAAGTCTCATTACTTTCCTTTTATTCTTTAAAGAAGGCAAAGATTAAATATTCATATAAAAACTCCCAATAAACAAGGTAAAGTCACTTCAATTTTTTTAGTGTAGCGAGGTTTGTCTGTATTGCATAACGTAACTACAGCATGGCATCAGACCAATGCTCTATCAAGCCCTTATTGTGTTTAATAGTGGATTGTACCAGAGATTCTGGGAGAATGTACAGAACAAGGCAGTAGAACTGATCTTCTGGAGGTCAGAGGTTTGGAGTTTTGTGTCTGACCATTTTGCCTAATAGCCATGGATGGAGCTATCCTAGGAACTTAGCTAGTTCTTTTTAAAATCCAGTTGTACTTTTGGCCTTCAACATCCTGGAGCAGAACATTCCACAAGGTAACTGCATTGTGTGAAAATATTAATTTTCTGTTCATTTTACCCAGATGATTCATGATTTTATAGACCTCTATCAGATTCCCCCTTATCTCTTTCCTGAACTGAGCAATGCTATTCTTTTTAGTCTCTCCTCATATGGAAGCCGTTTCATTACCTTGATGATCTATGTTACCCTTTGCTAGTTCTCCTATATTCTTCCTGAGATGAGGCAATCTGGACTGGACACAGTATTCCCGATGTGTGCATACCAAGGATTTACATGGTGGCATTATATTTTCTGTTTCACTTTCTATTACTTTCTTAATAGTTCTGATATTGTTTACCTTTTGCACTCCATTGTAAAGGTTAACAAAAATAGAAACAGGACAAGTAATACTCAGTGAGCTCCCTCCACATTTTGAATTGCATGGCTTCTGCCCACAAACAAAGCAGGCACTTAAAATTTTATGTGTAGTTCAGTGGTCCCCACCATGGCGCCTGCCGGGGCATTTGTGTGCGCCCGCCAACAACCTGGGCCGGCCCCGCCCGCGACGCACAGGAGGTGCCGGCCCCGGGCGCAAGGCGCTCGGCCC